ATATATATATATATATATATATATGAGTTATCATTTTTTTAAAATGTAAAATAAATAAAATGTATGGGGAAAAATTTTTTTACTGTCCCACTGCCCTGTTAATATTTCTGTACATTTTCTGTCCACTTCCCCCTGCTATTAAGGATCTTATCGTGCAAAATATAAAGAAACTTGATCTACAACAAAGTTCAAATATTTTAGGTCATGACATACAAGACCTTTTACGAAAGGGCTCTTCTAGCCTTTCCAGCCATCCTTCATATTTTCAGCAAATATTTGTTTAGCACTCAGTACATGTCAGATTCTCTGCTAGACTCTGGCAGTAGAGAGCTAGGAATCCCAGTCCTGCCTGCCTTCAAGGAGATGGTCATCTAATAAGAAGACAGAAAAGTGATCATTGCGGTATCGATAAGTATTAGGATAAAGTATGTAGATATGGGGCACCTACCCCAGACTAAGAGATGTGTAGGGTCTGGCCAGAGGTAGGCAGAAGAAAGGATAACTTCTTAACAGAAGGTGCAGTATGTTGAAAGGTATAGACACCATAAAGAGCATCATTAAAGAACTCCAAGTAATTATCTACCTGAAATGTGCATGTTGGGGGATGACAGATAAGACTGGAGGCTGATTTGGGTCAGACTGCAAAAGGGTCTCGTAAGCCAGTCTGAGGATTTGGGATTTCATCACCAAAGCTATGGAGAACCACTGAAAGGACAGAGTAGTGCAGTGATATGGTAGGATTGTCATTCCAATAAGGGTACTACCACAGTGTGGGAAGGTTAGCCTGGATGCCAGCTAAAACAAGAGTTAATGGGACCTTTAAGGCTAATGTTGTCCCCAGGAACTTCTTGACTCCAGTTTCATCAAATCATCTGGCCAACCACATCATGCTCTGTCACACCACGAGCCTTGTTTTGTGCTATTACCCTGCCTGGAATATCCTCCCTGTTCATCTTCTAGGAAAACTTCTATTCATCCCCTGAAAGCCCCAGTTTATAAGCCTGCTCCTCTGTGAAGCCTTTCTACTTCCCTTTATCTTTACAAAATCAATTGTTTCTGCCTCTCTGTTCCTATAGCACTTTATAGCACTTACAACTTCACATTGTAATAATTTGTCAGCGTGACTCCATCACACTATGAGATCATGGAGGGCAGAAAAGTCATCCCCAAATCTACCTCAACTGGTATACTTTATCGCACTTAGTTGGTGACTAATAATTATATGACTGAATGATGAATAAATGAATAAATGAATTGTGTTGCCCTGCCATTTTGGACCTCATCAAATCTTGAGGTGAATAATCCTTCCTCTGTTGAATTTGGGTCTCACTTCAGACACCAGCCTGGCTGACAGAAGACCAGCTGGGATGTAGGTGAATGACAGATCAGTCTCCCTGGCTGACTATCCTGTCTCCCCAGGTGGTCCAGCTGGAGGAGCTTCTGGCAGTGCGGCACTCTGTGTTCGTAGTGGGCGGTGCTGGTACTGGCAAGTCTCAGGTGCTGAGGTCCCTGCACAAGACCTATCAGATCATGAAACGCCGCCCTGTCTGGACTGACCTCAATCCCAAAGCAGTCACCAACGATGAGCTCTTTGGCATCATCAATCCAGCCACACGAGAATGGAAGGATGGTAAGAGTGGGATGCCCCTAGGAGAAAGTTCTTGCTATCCTCAGAGCCCCATGGGCAAGCTTGAATATAGGGGGGTGAACTGCAGAGGAGAGAATACTGGACTGATCTGTTTGGGATGGGAGAAGGAGGTGAAAAGAATCAAAGAAAGCCTCAACATGGATGGACCTAGAGGGTACTGTGCTTTAGTGAAATAAGTCAGATAGAGAAAGACAAATACCATATGACCTCACTTATATGTGGAATCTAAAGGCTTGTTGATGCATCTAGTATCGGCCTCCACCTGTACACGAACTTCTCCCTGAACGATGTACTTTTAAAAAAAGGAAATTATGTCTGTCCAGCGTATTTAGCATCTGGTATCACTATTTTGTTTATAATTCTTTCTAAGTTTCAGCTATAGATATAGTATCATAAACTTGGTCCTAAGGTTTTTTTTACATTGACATTTTTTTATCTATGTGGAATTTTGGGGGGGCTTAGTATGAGGTAAAGTAGAGAATCAACTTTATTTTATCCCAGATGAATAACGGAATGAGCAAGCACTCTTTATTAAGTAAAGTGTTCTTTCCTTCTGAATTTAAACACCAGGTTGTCATACATAGTGTGCTCTGATTCTTGGTTTTATACTCTGTTCTACTCTTTTATCTAGTCCTACACTAATGTAATTCTATTTTGCTTACAATTATTTTATATACTTTAATATCTGATAAGTTCCTCCTCAATATATTTGTGTAATTTTCTTAGCTAGTCTAAGGCATTCTTTATTCCATATTAAATTTAAACTCACATAATATAAGTCAAACTTTAAATAGCATTGGAATTTTAATTAAATTTTTGTTAAATAAATATATTAAATATGGAGAAATTGACAAAGAAGTCTTATAATGATCATAAGTCTGTGTTTACTAAACAAGAGGACATCCAAGTAAATAGAATGTGCCCTTTTAAAATTTTTAGAAAAACTTGTTAAAAATGGAAATAAACTAGATTATATTAATATAGCTTTTTCAAAATTAGACAGATCTGGTAGATAGAAAAATAAGTATAGACATGGAAAAATTGGGAAATGCATTATCAAACTCAATATAACACATAGTTATAGAACCTTGTGTCTTATAAATAGAAAATTTTCCTTTCTTGGTTGGTTCATGGAACATTTCCAAAAATTAAATATTTAGTTAGCTACAGAAGAAGCCATAATGATTTCAAAAGTATCAATTTACAGGCCACAGTCTCTGATAATAATGCAATAGAACTGGAAACAAATAGCAAGAAAAAAATAATTTTACTATTTTCAAATCAAGAAATACTTATCCCCTGGATTAAATAGAAAATTAAATTGCAACCCCTCTAAGAAACAATAAGAAGAACACATCAAACAAAAACCTTTGGGACACATCTGAAATCAATAAGGAAAAACTTTAAACTCTTTATTACACAAGGTAAGCAGGAAATGAAGTCAGTATCCATCCTAAGAAATTATTCAAAGAATAATAAGCTAAACCTAAAGAAAATTGGGCAGAAACAAAGTAATAAATATAAAAGCTGAAATAAGTAGGAAAGAACAAAAAAATCATATTAAGGATAAATAAATGTAAATATTGGTTCTTTGTAAAGACAATAAGTTCATTATGAGCATGATTAATGGGGAAAAGAGTAAACATATGTAAGATTAGGAATTAGAAAGAAGATATAACATTACATATAGACAAGATTAAAATAGAAGAGAACACTAATTAAATGACACATATTTGAAAAACTAGAATAGATGATCCCCTAGCAAAATACAAATTAGCAAAATTAACTCAATAAGAAGTAGAAAACAAGTAAACTAATGAAAAGGAAAATTTAAAAATAGTAGAACCAAAAAGAAAGATAATTTTTCTCAGCATAATAAAGGCCATGAAAAACCCACAACTAACATCATACTCAATGGGGAAAAGCTAAAAATGCTGTTAAAGTTAGAAACTAGACAAGGATGCCCACTTTTATCACCTTTATCAACAGAGTATTTTGAGTCCTAGCCACAGCACTTAGACAAGAAAAAAAGGCATCCAAATTGAAAAGGAAGTAGTAAAACTGTTGTCATTTGCAGATGACATGATACCATATATAGAGAACCCCGAAGATTCCACCAAAAGTCTATTAAAACTGAGAAATGAATTCAGTAAAGTAGCAGGATACAAAATTAATATTCAGAAATCAGTTCCCTTTTTATACACCAATGATGAACTGTCAGAGAAATTAAGAAAAAAATTCAATTTTTAATTGCATCAAAAAAATACTTAAGAATAAATTTAACCAAAGATGTAAAAGACTTGTACTCAGAAAATTCTAAGATATTAAAGAAAGAAATTGAAGAAGATACAAATAAATGGAAACATATAGCATGCTCATGGATAGGAAGAATTAACATCGTTAAAATGTCCATATTACCCAAAGCAATCTATAGATTCAATGTAATCCCTATCAAAATACCAATGGCATTTTTCACAGAACTAGAACAAATAATGCTAAAATTTATACATAACGACAAAAGACCCCAAATAGTCACAACAATCTTAAGAAAGAAGAACAAAGTTGGAGGTATCATGCTACCTGATATCAAACTATACAACAGGCTATAGCGATCAAAACAGCATGATACTGGCATAAAAACAGACACATAGATCAATGGAACAGTATAGAAAACCCAGAAATAAACCTATATCTCTATGGTCAATTAATCTGTGACAAAGGAGGCAAGAATATACAGTGGGGTAAAGAAAGGCTATTCAATAAATGGTGTTGAGAAAACTGGACAGATACATACCAAAAATGACACTGAACCACCTTCTGACACCATATACAGGAATAAACTCAAAATGGATTAAAGACTTAAATGTAAGACCTGAAACCATAAAATTCCTAGAAGAAAACAGAGGCAGTAAACTCTCTGACATTGGTCTTAGTAATGTTTTTTTCTTATATATCTCCTTGGGCAAGGGAAACAAACAAACAAAAAATAAACAAATAGGACTACATCAAACTAAAAAGTTTTTGCACAGCAAAGGAAACCATCAACAAAACTAAAAGACAACCTACTGAATGGAAGAAGATATTCACCAATGATACATATGATAAGGGGTTAATATCCAAAATTTGTGAAGAACACATACAACTCAACACCAAAAAAAACTAAGAATCCAATTAAAAAATGGTCAGAGGACCTGAACAGACATTTCTCCAAAGAGGACATACACATAGCCAATAGACATATGAAAAGATGCTCAATGTCACTAATCATCAGAGAAATGGAAATAAAAACCACAATGGGATATCACCCCACACCTGTCAGAATGGCCATCATCAGTAAATCAACAAACAAGTGTTGGCGGGGATGTGGTGAAAAGGGAACCCTCATGCACTGTTGGTGGGATTGCAAATTGGTGCAGCCACTATGGAAAACAGTATGGAGGTTCCTCAAACAATTAAAAATAGAACTACTTTATGACCCATAAATTCCACTTCTGGGTATTTATCTGAAGAAATCCAAAACCCTAATTTGAAAAGATGTATGCACACCTATATTTATTGCAGCACTATTTACAGTAGCCAAGATGTTGAAGCAACCCATGAGCCCATCAATAGACAATTGGGTAATAAAGATGTGGTACATATATACAATGGAATATTAGTCGGCCATAAAAAAGAAAATGCAATGAAATCTTATCATTTGTGACAACATGGATGGACCTGGAAAGTATTATGCTAAGTGAAGTAAGTCAGGCTGAGAAAGACAAATGCCACATGATCACACTTATATGTGGAACTAAAGAACAAAAATAACAAACAAAACAGAAACAGACTCATAGATAACAGAGAACAAACTGATGGTTGCTAAATGAAAGGGTTGGGGGACTGGGTGAAAAAAAGTGAAGTGATTAAGAAGTACAAATTGTGGTTACAAAATAGTCACGGGGCTTTAAAGTACAGTATAGGAAATATAGTCAATAATGTTGCAACAACTATGTATAGTGCCAGGTGGGTACTAGACTAATTGGGGGTGGGGGGAGGGAACACTTTGTAAATTATATAAATGTCTAACTACTATGTTACACTTAAAACTAATATAGAATAATATTGAATGTCAACTGTAATTGAAAATAAATTTTTAAAAAGATAATCCCAAAATCATTTTAAAAGACAACTCTCAGTTCATTTTATGGAGGCAGAAAAATAATTTTTTTAAGATTTTTATTAAAAATATTGCTAACATATAATATTGTATCAGTTTCAGGGATACACAATAGCTGCTCAACATTTATATACCTAAAGAGGTGATCACCATGATAATCCCAGCAGCCATCTGACACCATACTATGTTCTCACAATATTATTGACTATATTCCCCATGCTGTATGTTACATCCCCATGACTTATTTGTTTTATACCTGGAAATTTGGACCACACATTGCCCTTTTACTTTCCCCCCACCTGTTTAATTTTTCAGTTACAGTTGATATTCAATATCATTTTTATTAATTTCAGGTGTACAGCATAGTGGTTAGACATTTATATAATTTAAGACATGATCCCCCTGACTAGTACCCACCTGGCACTATACATAGTTATTATCATACCATTGACTATATTCCCTATGCTTTACTTTATATCCCCATGACTATTTGGTAACTAACAATTTGTTCTTTTTAATCCCTTC